GAGAGAGAGAGAGAGTCAACAGGTGTAAGGGGGAGATGGAGCGAACGAACAAACGTGCGTACGAGCATATTTGTTGGCCGTTGATACGAATCTATACCCTCTATAGTTTTAATATTCCAATTAACGACCAAGTATAATTATTCAAGATTCTTAGACGTGTGTGTGTGCTCGTCTGTTACAGATCAGACAGGAGAAACCTTACTACATCGCCGATCCGGAGGTGGACTCGCTGGTGAGTATTATTCCCTTAATTTTACGAATTTTAATTATAATATCCCATCTCCGCGACGCAAAGCCAAATTCGCCAAATTTTATTCATACGAGACGTGCTGCAAATTGATAAAAAATTGATCACCAAATTTTTCTACCCCACTGGGTAAATAATTAAAAAAAAAAAATGTCAGAGTAATTTTCCTTCTTCTTTCGAAGAAAGACAAATATCGCTGTTTTCGTCAAGAAACCTCCCGTTCTTTTTTCTCTATTCCTTCGCTTGTTTGTTAACGTCGTTCAACTTTATCTGACCATCGTTTCGCTTTCGCTCGAAACACGTTCGTTTCGAGGAATGACGGTGGAAAAACGGGCACATTTAATTGGAGCGAGAAAGGAGGGGAACGAGCCCTGTGAAAAATCAAAAAAAAAAAAAATAACAGGATACAATATACACTCTATATATAATTACTTTGATATCTGATGTTGCTTTGATATCCGATAATTGAAAAAAAGAAGGGAGGGGAGAAAGGAAGGAAAAAGAAGGAGCGCTGGAAATTTGAAAATTACTTCCTCCTCCTCGACGAGTATCCTAACGAGAAGTGAGTAGAGTTATTACTGTGTAGGAAACTGATGGAAAATTCAGTTGGAGGTAAACCGAGTGTGTAAAAGTGAGGCAGACAGCGATAATTAAAAAAAAAGGAAAGAAAGAAAGAAAGAAAGAAAGAAAAGAAAGGAGAGGAACAGGAGGAGTCGGCGAGTTCGCCTTTGTTCCTCGTGGCTGGACGCGGCGGCCATTCGAATGGCAGACCTTCGAGGAGAGCAGACCGGAGGAAGAAATATTTCAAACGACCCTTCGCGTTCCCTGATCGAGATAACGGATAGTGGGCTTTTTAAATAACTCGGGTGTATTCGTTGGTGGACGAGGACGACGCGCACACGCGGCCCCATCGATGCCTCGGCTCAAAGTCGACCTGCCATTATGGATTCCTTTTTCGAGACCGTTCCCTCTGATTCTCATTGATCTTCCCTTTCTTGCGGTGGCTCGTGTTTCGCTATGATTGAGGCTCTCTTTCTTTTTTTTTGGAAAATGGGTCTATTATCAGGTAAAGTCTTTTCGGGTAGGCAAGTTCGCCCGAGAAGTTCGAGAATGGATCTATACCGGTGATAAATCTCCAATTCATTTGCATCTTTAGATAGAAGAAAGAAGAAATATGTGTCGAGATTCGTAGAAAATTGGGTTGAAATTAAAGATCCGCAAATTGAGGCATGGTAGAAATCGAAGTTTCTTCGTACAAGAACGAAAATTTTCTTCGATTAACCGGTCAAAACTTCAGAATCGTATAAAAATCCCCATAATTAACGTACAACGTATCATGATATAACGCGTACAGCGATGGCCTGGTATAATAATTCGTTTCGAGATCCGATTTCTAATTATCCGCGTGAAAAAGCGACGCGTCGTGGAGTCGAGGAGTTGGCAATATTTCATCATCAAAGTTCGTTCAAGCCTTACCGCGCAGCGTTTTCGTCTGCACGGGGAAAAGGTGTCTCGCGTTTTCGAATACCCGCTCGTAATTCAAAATTGGATATATCGAGCGTGTTAATGGTGAACCGGTGTACGTTGTGTTTCGCGTTCTCCTCCCCCTTTTTTATTTTTCGTTTCCCTCCTCTCCCTCCTCTTCGTCGAGCGGTGGGAAAAAACAGAGAGAGAGAGATAGAGAGAGAGAAAAAAAAATATATATATATATAGAGGAGAAGGAAAACGGACGACGGGGATGCATTTCGTTGACGTTGTTCGCATCGTTGGCCTCAATTTTTCAAAATGTCACGCCCGTTATCTGAGCTGTCAGGACGGCATCGGTCCGCGCGCAAACATCCACGCAAGGTGTACCCCGCTCGAATCTCGCGCCGCTGTTGTCACAACTGTCGCTCGGCCCCGATCTGTTGAAACAGAAAAACAGAACGAATAAAACCAAAAAAAAAAAAGAAGAGAGAGAGAGAAAAAAGGAAAAAAGGATTAAAAATAAAAATAAAATTGGAATAGAAAGAAAAAAGAGAGGGAAGAAAAAAAGAATGCGAAAGAGAGGATGAAACGAGCGAGATAAGTGTTAAACGTATGTGCGTGTATTATCGCGTATTATCAACGATGGTGTGTACGATAGATTCGCATCATTAAATAAATGTGAAGCGCGAACGGGTTAGACGCGCGCGTTTTAAATCTAAATTTTAAAAGGAAACTGGACGGTTCGCTGATTTTTCCAGTGACGCGTGCGTTCGTAGAAATTACTGTTATACGTATAATTTCTCGAATAGAGAAATTATTCTATTCTATTTCTTTCTTCGCAATTCTCGACGAATTGTTTTTTCTTTTTTAGACACTCGCGATTGCGGTCGTGCTTCAACTTCTTCTTTTTTTTTTTTTTTTTTTTTTTTTTACGGAGGAGAAATCTAATAGAAACATTACGCAAAATTACAGAAATTTTTCGTTCATCGAAATCTTTATGAATAATTCCATCCTCGAGCATTCCAAGCCATTCTAACACGGTCATTATCGATCCAGTTACGCCATTATTGCACCTGTTGCTACAAATGGAATAATGTTTCTTTTGCCCGAGAAGCACCAATAACGCGCGCACATCTCCAACCGAACGCTTCGAAAATGATTCATTGAATCGTCGTTCGTTCGCCTTTCGAATCCACCAATAATCCATAATTCCGTCGTGATGTTCGTCCACCGATCACCGCCGCGGCAGAAGAACGACGATACTTCCCCACCTTCGTCAGGGAACTGGTCCAATTAACGCACGCCTCCCTCAACATTGCAAAAACTCGCGAGTCGAATCCGTTGAGAAAATTTACGAACGGCCACGAGGAAAGTCGAGAGGAGGCCTTGGTCGATCGAAAATCGCATTGGTGGCTCGTTTCACCGGTGCAGAAACCGGTGGCGTGGCTTCATTACGCCCGTGGCAAATCGCAATCTACGAGCAATGAGCTTCTATCGTAAAGAACAGGCACGTAACGTCCGCGGTTTTTGCTGTCCGCGCCCTTTGCCCCCCCTCCTCCCCTTTGTTTCCATCCTTTCTTCGGAAGAGGGAGGGGAGGGAGGCCCTCCTTGTGTTCCACCACGGCTCTCTTCTCTCGGTTCGCATCTCTCGCGCCGTCCACGGCCAGAAACTGGCTTTTTGCCGCGATTATCTTGCCAGAGTGAAGCCACACTCTGTTCTCTGTTCTCTACGGGGAGGAAAGAGGGAGAGTGGTCGAGGGTTACACGCACGATGGCCCCGTGCGTTGATCGGAAAGGTCGGCTGGAAACGACGCGGCGACACGATCGAGGGAACGTCGGGGAGCGTGGAAAGGGCTCGAGATGGCGGAAAATTCGACGCAGATGCCGTGCTGGTTGGTCCCCTGTTGGAAAGGTTTTCGAAAAAAGGGCCGAGTTTCACCACCTCAGGGTCCCTCAGGGGTGGCGCGAACAAAGGAAATCGTTGCGCTCTTCGAGTGTTTTCTCCGTGAACCTCAAAATCGCTCGCTCGAATATTTCCTTCGATTTGGGTCGTTTCGATAGGTTCTCGAAAGATTCTTTATTTTACAAAAGTATCTCCCTTCCACGATTTCGTTGGACCTTCTTGTTGGAAAAGAAAAGATTTTATATTCATTGGCATCCTTTTCGGATGCAGCAAAGGTAAAACCCGATTCGATAAAAATATTTTACTTAACGCAATGATGAATAACGTGTTGAACAATCATATTGCGAATACATTTTTATACGAGGAGACACGTTTCAAAAAGAGATATTGTCTTTTCTCGTGTTCAAGACGCGGGAACAAGTGGTCAGAATGAGAGAGGAACGTATCGCAAATATGTCGCTCGCTCTTTTTCCTTCCATTCCTCTTGCCTTCTTAATCTTTAACCTTCGGTATGCAAAACGGGGTCGGGGAGTTGTTCAGGCCGGAAGAGGCACGTGCAATGGCGGACGAGCGTGCCCGCTCTCTTCAATCCACCGAAGGTCAAGAGTTTCCTTCGAGGTTAAAAGCGAGGATCCTCTCGGTTCGCCCTCTGCGAATCCTTCGACAGCCGAACCGAAGGAACAGCGTGCTCTCTATTCTTCTATTCTGGAATCCGTGTTTCCCGCCTGCCACGCGGGATCTTATCTGACAACCAGACGTTTCTCACGGAACGAAAATATCTAGCCTTCCTTTAAGATTCCTTTCTTTTCTCTCGCTGCCGTCTAATTCCATCCGACGTCTTATCTTTCGTGTCCTCGAGAACTTTCTCCTCTTTTTTTCGGTGCTCGGTGTCGAACATCCTGAAACTTTCCTTGTGCAAATAAAAATGTCCATTTCTCTCGATTTTGCAACGAATATTTCTCGAAATATCGTGAGACGAGATCGAACACGAAAAACAATATAATTTGTAACATTCGTTCCGTTCGTTAAATTAATTGCAGTGTACAAGCGATTCTCCACAAAAAAAAAAAAACAACTTTCTCAGAAAAAAAAAAAGAGGGAAAAATTCGAAAAATTACTTTTTCCCGCCTTTTTTCCCTCTCACGAGCCGCGGCGAAAGATCGAGGCGTGGTGTAGGCGGCGTGCGAAACGGTGTCTTCCACGCCGAGGTCGCGGACGAAACGAAACGAGGAAAGGAAAGATGAGGCATGCCGGACGTTTAAACTCGCGGAAGAGAGGAAAAGGCGGCGGAGGCCGTTGTTGCGAATCTGTTCCACGAAGCTCGCCCGGGGAAAGGGATCTGCCCTCGTACACGCGCTTTAATAATACTCCCGCCTATTAGCATAAGCGAGAAATGAGCCAATGAGATGCTAATTGCCCCTCTCGCGTTTCGAGAATAATTATTACCGCCGAGAGTACTTTGCATTAGGCTCGCTCGGACGTTGGCCACCGGTCCACCACGCTTTCTCCATGCTGCTCCCGCGGAACGGCGATTTCCCTTCTTCTTCTTCTTCTTCTTCTTCTTTCTTTTTT